AAAACATGCTTGGTGATATTCCATTTTATTGGACTTCTTATTTTAGGTGACATGGTTAAACAGGGGACATTTATAACCCCCACTGGACTCTTCCTGGTGTCTGGTGCGATCCTGTACATGGTGACAGCCATCCTTCACCCTCAAGAGTGCACTTTGATTATCTACGGTCTAATGTACTTCATCTGCATTCCCAGTGGATATCTCCTCCTCACGATATATTCCCTAGTCAACATGCACATTGTGTCTTGGGGCACTCGAGAATCTAACAAGGGCAAGGAGCAGAAAAAGCAAGTGGGTGTCGTGTGCAATCGCGACTGCAGAATGTGCTGTTGGGACGTGAAAATCCAAGTCACTCAGGAGACCGAAAATCTAATCCTTCAACAAATCCAGCAAGCCGTCAATCCAAACACACCTGCTACCAAGACCAAGCCAGACGAGCCGAAGGCTCAGAGCACCCATGAAGTCCAGAGCAGCTTAGATGCAAACAAACGCATCCTGGACTACAACGAGGAGACGCCTCATAAGAAGGAGTCCAAAGAGAATCTCAACAAGGACTACAAGGAAAAAGACACTTGTTCTGATAGAAGGTAAAGAATATGAAAATGTATTTGGATTACATTTGTATTGCAGCAGAAACGTTCTTATTTTTTCCCCAACGGTTGCTTCAAATGAATCTTACAGTGGGAGTTCCAAAAGCTGTGAGAAAAAAAACGACCCATTTAATGATGACACAGATTATGACGATGACGACGATGATGATGATGATGATGATTATTACAATGATTACGATACTCTGGAGCCAAAAGATGTTGTGCCTGAGAGTGGTAAGAGATGACATCTTTTCGATCCATTCCTACAGGTATCGCTCTAATTCATGATCATCTTGTCAGTACAGTGTTTTATGAACTAAATGGGTGCCTCAGATTAGTAATAGAATGAGAATCTCTGATTCAAACTGCATACACTCCTCATATGTACCCTATTCTGGGTGTAGAGTTGGTCTGTGCGTTGAATCGTTGTTTTTACGTCGTTCTTATTCAAACGGACAGACTGGGTGGAGCCCGTGAAGAAAGAGTTCCTGAAGAAACTGACGTATGCAAATCTGAAGAGAAACCTTCAGGAGCAGATCCGATACACACTGAGAAACAAGAACAAGGAGGATCTGTGCGAGGAACTGGTGTCGATTCTCACCGACACCCTGAACGAGGAGCTGAGGGATAAAGTGGGTCCCGAGGACGTGTTGAGTGTGAATCAGCTGGAGGAACTGCAGTATGCTCTGAACGAAGCCGCCAGGCGCATCGTGAAGTCCAACCGCATCGAGAACGGAGCGCAGAGACTGGAGCAACGCGTCAAGAGGGCAATCGAAAGAACACTTGTGGCTCCACAGGTTGAGAAGCTATCTGAGGTAATGCTTTTTGGATGGTTGATGTTCTGATGAGATTTACACAAGTAGGACATGTTTCTGGATCTCCATTCCCATCAATGCATCAAACACAACACTTACCTTAAATCCAGGTAACAATAAACTACCCCCTAGAAACCAGGGCTGGGCAACTCTGGTCCAGAGTTTAGCTCCAATGAGGAGCCTGTCTGTAGCTTTCCAGTATAGGGGTGGCCAACCCCCAGTAATACTCGTTTTGGATGTCTCCCTTATCTGACCCATCCTTTGCAGATATTGGAGTCTCTTAATGAGCTGTTGAGTTGATTCAGGGGCCTGTACCATGATAGTCGCTGAACAAACTCAGGGTTACAGGATTAGTTTTGGTACCATGATGCTGACCATCAACTTTCTCTGTCAACTCAGGCTTTGATCCTGAGTTAATGAAGCGCGTGCACGTGAAAGTGTGACATCAGTAATGAACAGCCAATCACATGCCTTTTAACTGTGATTCACTTCTCGCAATTCACTGCCATAGATTAAAAGATTGAAAATATTAATTTAAATACATTTACACAGCATGGTGAAAAGAGCTGTCAGTGAAAGAGGAAAACTAAAACAACTAAAAGAAAACATCTTGACATATCAGTACAAGTGAAACTTGTGACGTTAGTTTATATTGTTGATAATATATAGGTATAAAGAGACTCAAAAATCTAAACTCAAATGTAGTCATGTTTAAAGCTTTATCCATTAATTCTAAAGCTTATTTATATTCTATATTATCTGTATATATTTATATTAATTTAAAATAAAAGATTAATAATTATTATTTTAATATGGCTTGTGTAATGTATTAAGGCTATAATAAATATATAAATCATATAATTATAATAAATAATCATCACTAAAAGCCAGATGATTTTATCTTTAAAAA